GATTCCTCCCCGTCTTATTCGGGAGCGGGCGCGCGCGCGCGCGCGCGTGCTACTATGTGAGCCTCCGCGCAGAATTTGTCTTTCCACGCGCTCACCTCTTCCCTCTCGCTCTCACGCTCTCTCTCTCTCTCTCTCTCTCTCTCTCCCTCTCCCTCTCCCTCTCCCTCTCTCACTATCTCTATCTCTATCTCTATATTTATCTCTCTCTCTCTCTCTCTCTCTCTCTCTCTCTCTCTCTCTCGCCAACAGACAGAGCGGTCCTGCGCGATACCTCCTCTTTCACTATTCGGCGGGCCAATCCTCCCGTCGTGGAACCGGGGACAACGACCGTAAGTTCGGTCCGTGTCGCTTAGGGCGATAATCGAGAGCTCGACGAATCCCCGTCAGAGAAATCGGCTTGCCAGTCTCGTCTTCGTCTCGGGGGCGGCTGCTGCCGCGCACTCTACCTTTCACGCTCTTGCTGCTGCAGCTCTTGTCTATGATGTCGTTGCCATTGATGATGCCGAGGTAGATGCCCGGTGCTCGCGACGGCGGTGTCCTCGTGCTCCCGCCTGGGAGCTGCATCCTTCGAGCTCGCCAAAGGGCTCGCTGCCCCTCGCTCCCTCGGCCCGATTCTCCAAGCCGCGTCGATGCTGCTCTACGTCTGCAATCAGAAACGGAGGGCCAAGTTATTGGCGTAGCTCGTAAACTCGCGTTAGGCTTATTTTTATTTCGTTCAACTACATACGTCAGGCCACCGCTGCCTTACGCTTATCTACCGTCTATAATGCCCTCACGCTCCCTCCACTTCGCTTAATTCTCTCTCGAGGCTTTTGTTTTGCCTTGTGTGCGTTTTCAACAAGCGCGCTACGCGTCGTAGATATTGGAGTGAAAAGAGCTATGAAGTAATTGAAAAGTCTTGTCTAGTTAGTCGATCGATTTATGCTGCCCATAGGATAATCCATATTTTCGATTCTCAAGTGCTAAGCCTTAAATATTTTAGACCACTTATGTATATATAACCTACTCGCTTAACTCACAATATTTCAGTATTTAGAATAATAAAACAAAACAATTGATAAGAATAACAACAACAACAACAACAACAACAACAACAACAAAATACTAATATCAAATCAACACTTCATTCAGACTCGCTCATATTATTAGAATTTACTTTAATAAATAAAATCTTTATTTTATTTAAAATTCATGCTGCATTAAAATCGACGATATTGCAGCGACTTTTACTTAAAAATCGTCAATTCGTACTAGAAAGCGAAAATCAAATCAACATTATAGTTTTAACGGTGGACGATTGAATTATACCGGGCCCAACAACATATATCATTGATTCTCGTCTCCCCGTACCCTCCGCTCCTCTCCTCATTAACACTTCAACGAATGCAGCGAGTAGTGGCGACGATATGTCTTCCCCCTCCAAACGCTTCTCGATACTCAGCAGAACTCCCGAAAAATTCAACTTTCCAGTGGCAAGGGACGAGCAACTCTCGCGACTCGGCCAACCTTATATTTCCGTATTTCCGGCTGGGCTCACCTCGCCGCTTCTAAGAATCGTTGGCGAAGAGCGCCGGCATAATGCACCCCGACACCCCAGAGTTACCTTGTACTCCTGGTGTATAATCCCCGCGACCCCCCGCACTTTATTCTCCCGCGCTCCCGTTGGAAGAATTATCGACTGTAGATCGACTGTCCAAATTTCTCTCGTTCGGCAAACGTTATACAATTGCTCGTGGCAACGAGCATAAATGTAAATTGACAAAAGCAGTCTAACGCGGATATGGCAGGTGGGCCCGTCGACGTATTCACTGATATCCGATTTTAAAGAATTCCGTCTTTGCCTGGGTGTCTAACGCCGCGATGAGGCGATTTTGGCAGGTAGGAAACGCCCCGGAGTACCTAAATATTGCATTAGTCGCTATTATTTAGCTTGCATAGTACTTAAATACGAGGGCGGATTTATCGGTAAAATTACGGCAAACCGACGACTGTTAGCGGCGATTATTGACTTACTTGCTTTTCTTCCAGCACAATAGCAAATTCGGCAATTAATGCAAAGTTTATGTATACCGGCTCAAGCGTAACCTATTAATCTCATCTCGTAATGGATTAATAAGCTCGTAAACGATCGTTGCCCTAGCTGACGTTCATCCTGAAAAGCGTATTTCCGAGAATTTCTTTTTCAATAGGGCAACGAGTAAATTCTGGGTGGAAAAATGCCGTTTATTCGAAGCATCGAGAGAGGATAATCGATATACCCTCGGTGGTTGGATGAGGCTACTCCATCATGGCTACTCCTTTCGTCGTCCCCGTAATTCAACGGAACGCGCATGCTTTTATTCCTTACCCGTTTTCTCGCATTGGCTGACTCACTTCGTTTTCGGTCTTCGCAAATCGACGAATAACCGCCGTGAAATTTACCGAAATCCATGGTGGATGAGTCGCGTGTGCGTATACTTCGACTTGCCATGGGACGCCGAAGCAACAGCTGAGTGACTTAAAGCACCTGCCCTCAATGGCTTTGGTCGACCTCACATACATACATACATACATATACATATACATATACATATACATATACATATACATATACATATATATATATATATATATATATATATATATACATATATGTGTGCGTGCGCGCGAGTGTGTTTGTTTGTGTGTGTTGGTAGGACGTGTATCGGTGATGAACACTCGCACAGATGCGCGGGCGAGCGCGCTCGCACGAACACAAACAGAACTCCGTTTTCACCCACATGTCACAGAAATCCTGCGCAGATGTTACATGTGTTGTTTTCATTTTTCGACATGACCAAACGACGACGACGACGATGACGACGATCAAGACGACGTGGACGATGAGGTCGAAGAGAACGACCAAGACGATGACGACGATTACAACGAAGACGAAGTCGAGGACAACGAGGAGGATGGATCGATCGATCGAACGAACGATACAGCGAGGGGACGTGAAAGAAATAGGAAATTTTTCGAAACGCGAGAGCGACTTTTATCGGGGGAACATTTATAGGAAATGGCTCGTTTATAATGGAATATAACTAACGGATATTTTTGTCGATGAATCGAACGATCAACATAAGACGAATGAATATGAAAAATTGCCGTACCTGGATATTTACTCTATCCCTTGACGATGACTTTTCAAAACGCGACGTCTTTACACTACAAATTAATGTCCCAATTTTACAAACACACAATCAGAGTTATGTTACGTATTTTTTTTTGTAATTGCCAAAACACGTTGGAGTTGCGAGTAGCTTTAATAGATTCTAGAAATAGCGTTAATCGTTTATTCGTCGCACGAAATATGCCTCGAGCGCTTTCCTCCGCAATAATCCCGTGTAACGTAAAAAATAATCAATCGAGAGCATCCATGGCCGAATAATTAAAAAGTTGCCTCTTATTGCATGAAAACGAAAGCGCAAAGACGTAGGCGTAGGTAGTTCGATCGTCTTATCGTTAACATTCACGCATCCGCGCTACGCACAACACCCGATAACTTATCTAAAGCGCCCTACAGTTGTTTTTTCATTTATCGCTACTTCGTACGCACAGCCTGCGCTTTCACTTTACCGGCCATATGTCGCTATGGGACTCGAAAGGAATTGAAGGCACGGCACGATAACGCTGGCAGCGCTTAAGTCGTTGGCGACGAGGTGACAGTTCGCTCGAGAGCCATAGAATCGGGGCCAGGAGGTAGAGGAGGAGGAGGAGGAGAAAGAGGAATAGTAGGAGGGGGTGGTTAGGGAACTTCGAGGGGGTCCACCCGCTTGGAGTGCGCGACACGCACCTTTTGACTTCCCGGTGGGCGCGCCTTCACGCGTGGGATCACCGAGAGGAAGGAAAGCCGACTCGCTCGTCGGAAATAACCCCAGGAACTGCCCCCTCGGGTCGGAAGTACGAGCGGGAAGCTAATTACACGCGAGAGAAGAGTGCCGGCGTGCGAGCCTTCACGATGCGATGAGCACCTGAAAACGCGCCTTTAACCTGGATCGCCAGGCCTCATTGTCTCGAGCCACCGGACGGATTTTTACAGGCACGAAAAGTTGAGGGAGAGAGAGAGAGAGAGAGAGAGAGAGAGAGAGAGAGAGCCACGCTGGAGAAGCGCGAGAGGAAGCTGCGCATTGTCTTCCGGTTACGGATGACCTGCTCGACAATGTGTAACTAACTATCTTTTCAGTCGAGTAACCCTGCTTCGCGTCGGCAAGCCGATGGAATTCCGTATGTCGCGATACCCACGAGGCATCAGCACGGGAACGGCGGCCCGTTTCGCTTATTGTTTTTTCATTTTGTTGCTTTTTCCCGGTATCCTTTCTTCTACGCATTTCCCTTTTCTCTGCCCTCGCTTCGGACATTGCGCGCCTACTCGAGTGCGCGACATGCGCCAGAAAGTCGACTGGCTATTGGATGCACCTCTCTTTGTTTGTAACACCGCTTCCCGATCAATTAACATTGCGAAGCTCGAAAAACAGGACGAAGCGTCGACTCGATTTTTACGATAAATAGAGGATCCTTCTTACCCGACCTACCGCCACTCACCATTCCATAGCGCCTCTCCCTTACAAAAGCCTCTGATCAAGCGCTCATTTTTTTCAATGACCTTTCACCTCACTCGCCCAACTACAAACGCAAACCATAATACATCCAAAACTAGAATGTACATTTATTTGTAAGCTAAACTTGGCATTCGTGCGTTCCTCGTAATTCATTCGAACAATTACCTGCGAACGAGGTAAGACGTTGTCCCAGGATACAACTTCTGACGCGTCCTCGCTTATAACTATGGCACTTTAGTATACCAAACCTGCAATTCCTCGCAACAAGTCTATTTAGACGCGGTTCTATCGCTTCGCTCCTCCCACTATCTTCCACGCAACGTCCACGCTCCGTAAATCAAGCCCGCACTTGTGTGGGCATCCCGCCCAAAGTCCAACACCACAGCAATGATAGCATTATCGATAACGCGATTGACAAAAAATAATAAAGACGATAACGGCCTTATAGTCGTGACCATCCATCGGCTTCGAATCTCGTCAACCTCGTCCCGATCGATTCGTCGTCCACGACGCTGAATTATTGCTCCAATAGCCCGTAAGCCCTGCAATTATAAACGTTTAATCGCCGCGCTCCCATCGGCACAACGGACTCTCGCCCGAGTAATTATTCCAAGTGCCGCGTCGCCTTGCCACCTGCTTGGAATTCTTGTCCCCGGTCGCGATTGCCAGCGATAGCCTCGCCATGCAACGAGCCCATAAAAAGGTGTGCCTACGAACCCGAGGATATATATATATATATATATATAAATAGTGCGCCAGTTGAGCGATGTCGAGCACCGAGGGCCCACATGACGCGGCATGTGCATCGGAATTCACGACCTCCCTTCCGCGGCTGTCATGTGACCAGGGCTCGCGCGCATAAGTGCCCGCCCGTCCGTCTGCGAGGGCGAAAGAGGTCCGCAGGGGGGCCCCAGCCCCCCTGCATGGGAACCCAATAGTAATCACCGGTCCATGTCCATTGCGCGCCTACGACGCACGTAATGGAGGGCGTTTACACGTAATGCAGCACTTCCTCCTGCAAGCGAATTTTTCGAGACGACTCGGCTCCTGTTCTCGCTTGTTT